GTTGCCTTGTCTTTGGAGAGCGCAATGCAGCACGTATTGGACCACAGAGCTGCTCACTGCTTAAGGTCCACTTTAAATTGGCTGAGAAACAATGGGACGATTCATGCAAAGCTTCTCCTGTCTGCAAGAGCCTTGTGATGGGCGAAGCACCCCGGGCATGAGCAGCCAAGGTGCAGGACGCACTTAGTCCCTCGCAGAAACTGGCGCTGCCCTGAGGTGGGCTCCAAAGCTGGAGAGGGTGACGAGGAAATTCGACCCAGAACGAAGGGACTGCGGTGAGAACAAGGTGCTTCTTCCACACACAAACTAGTGGGACGATGTAAGAGCAAAGTAAAGGAGGAGCTGGGACCCTCAGGACAGCACTGAGTACCCCACGGCGACAAGCTGCAGCTCCAAGCCTGTGTTCAGAAGCAGCTCTGCACGGGACACCTCTGTTGCACACCTTACGCATAACAGCTCAACGAGACGGCCCAATAAACCACTAAATTAGGCCGTCTCTGTGTTAACTTAGTTTAATCTTTTAATTTACTGGACTGCCTGGCCGCAGCTCCCCGCACCCAGCCCCAGCTGGCGGCACCGCGGGGCCTCTCCTCGTTACCCAGGAAGCAGCAAATGAAATTGGCGCCCGCGCCTGGCGGGAGCAGCAGCGCGAGGAGCCTGGGCGCACGAGGGAGCGACCCCAGCGAAAGGAGCCGGCTCCTTTCGCTACTCCAGGATGGCTATTCCCAAGAGAAAGAAACACTCGAGTTTACTCAGGTGGACACTGGTCATAACGGCCGGGTGCATCCTGCTAGGGCCTGTTACATCCCGAGTCAAAAAGAGTTTTCCACTCAACATCTGCAGGTCAGGAACACAGGGGCCTCCCGGGTAATTCCAGCAGCCTCAAGCAATAGGGTTTCTCATAGCAAAGCTATTCTATGCCTCTATTTTTTGCTTCATTTTCATTACTGTAACATGTAGGTGGGTAGAATATTCCAACTTCAGAGCCCTGCTCACCCACGCACCGACCACAGCCAGCGCTCCTGAGCCCCCAGCACGGAGTCAGCGAGCACCTACCTTTGCCAGTCGTTCCTTCTTGTCCCACCAGTCATCGAACGCCCGAAACGCCACCACTTCAACCATCTTCCTGTTCAGGTCCCTTTTCATGATCGCCTTCAGCTCCTTCACGATGACCAGGAGGACTCCATCCACAGTAGCTTTATGGGGATCCTCCTTCTTCGGCTCGTAACCCGGCGGCGGAACCGAGGGGTCAAACTTGGGCAGCGGCGGCACTGCTGCCCACGACCAAGCGCTGCTCCCATGGAGAAGGGGCGGTAGGGTGGCAGATTCAAGAACTGCATGCGGGCCCCCATGAAAGGTGGATACTGGTACGTGTTTTGTGCCTGCATCATGCGGCTCAGCATCTGCGTTTGCATCTGGAAGGACATGGGCATGCCGCCCCAGTGGTTGCCCAGGACGCTTATCATATCCACCTGCATGACGGGGAACATGCCGGGGTGGAAGGGAGGAAGAGGAGGCAAGATGTGAGGTGGAGGGACCCCGGGCGGCGCGGGCAGCGGCGGCGGCG